CCTTTTTTTCAAGCGACGTATGACAAGCACCTTCTCCATCTTGATGCACGCCAGGTAAAACGCGATAAGCATAAGAAAGCAGGATTTTCCGACACCCGGTGAGCCGACTATCACAACGCGATCCTCGCCATACAACATTTTCTTGATCACCTCCCAAAACATCACTTCCTCCACCCGAACGAAATAATGTGGGGGGAATTCGCCGAATCCCTCCCAAAACTCATGCAAGGTAGGTGTCATGACAATTGGGTCGTCACTTTGTTGCGTGATAGACAGACTGTCGAGTTGAAACTCGTCTTCATGTACGGACAAAGGTGTGAACTTGGTCAGCGTCTTCGGCTTGATGGCTGCCAAGGCGGGCTTGATGGCTGCCGAGTCGGTTTCCAGTAGTCTCAATCTTTTCTGGACATCAGCAATTTCATCAGCTGAACGCTTCGACCCGACACTCGGCGGAGGAACCACCACCAGCACGTGAATTTGCTCCGTTTGAGGTGAGGGCAATCCTTTCATCTGCAACATTTTCTGAATCGAATAGGCCGAGTACTCTTCATCATCTGTATCCACCAGTGATACCCTTTCGAACCCCGGTACATCCTCTCCTTTTCGTATCGCACGAAGGTCCTCAATTGGTAACCAATCTTCGCCCTTCTTCGCCAGAGAGAGCTGCAGGTACTTGGCATCGCACGTGATCGCCGCTGTATCCTTCGCCTTGATCGCATCCTTCAACACAGAAACCTTCTTGCCGTCGTCGATCGTCACGTCGAACGAGCCTACCTGGCCTTCGATTGCACACTCTAGTGAGATTTCAACCATCTTTTCTCGAGCCGGCAGATTCTGGAATGAGGGAAGAATTTCTGGCGTACTTAAGCGCGTGTGACATAGATATTCAACCAATGATGAGACGCCACGTCGCGCTTGTTTCCCGCGTCCGTCCGGTTCCTTTCTTGCTGCTTTTTCCTGCCTTTTCGCATGGCTACCCCATCTTACCGACCGCGCCTACCTTTCTGACTCGATTTAACTATGCCAAAATTACAATTATATCCAAAAGCGTTACACAATTAACTCGCGCCCTGATTGGGCAATACCTGCCGACCTGCGACACTGACTGGATCTGTCGCACGATCAGACCGCCTCTCGCCCCAGCGCTTTTTGTAGGGACTTTGCGAAAGTTTATCTTTTTTTACTTCACCTGGCACTTCACTCACCACTGCCACGCGGGTGCACGGTCATTGCGGTATCTACTCCCGTGCACCGCACCCGACAAATGCATGCGCGCACGATAGATACTTGAAGTAATTGTTTTAGTCAATTTATATTGCATGTAAAGTATGTATTTGTAGGGAAATATGATAAAAATATTATTATAGTAAAGCCAAAATATTAAATATCAACTTTTTAGTATTTTGTTTTAAAAAATATATATCCGCGTTATATGTCCATGCTATTGGCTAATATTTGGACGCAAGTAATTGGTTAAAACAATATATGTTGCTAACTTACTCACAGTTTGCAAAATGGTGGGCCCTATGTGCAAGCAATGCGAGGCGAAGATTGGCCCGCTTCTGCTGAATTCGCAGCGGTCTACGACGGATACCCGGGCGCGCTGCGTCGGTTGCGGGAAGCTGTAGTGCGGCTACGCATTCCGTACAATCAGCGGGCGGGACATCGTGCGGCGCTGTATTGCCTGCAAGAACGGCCTAAAAGCGGTTAACTTTTGGGAGGAAAAGCTTTTGCCACCTGGTTCGGCCGAAGTGCGCCGCCAGGAAAGCCTGTCAAACGTCAAGAAGGCGATGAGTCCTGACTGGTACCCCAAGAAGAAAGAGAGGCGCAGCCGCCCTCGCAAGCTGACCGCCCGAAACGCCAAGTACATCGAGCAAAAGAAGCAGCAGAAGAGCAAGTAATTGGTAAATATACCCTTTTAGGCCCCCATTTTCCTACCTATTTTTGTTTTGGTATACTGGCTGACGGTGCGAGGCTTGGGGCCGCACATACGGTAAGCTGACTATGGTGTTGACGCATCTACAGAGGGTAGCGCGTTTCAAATAATAATTAGCGCACGGTATCTACTGTGGACAGCCGCAAGCTGACCGTCCCTATCTGCATACGCGTCACGTATCCTCGCTCACTTGGACAAAGGCAAGACCAAGCTATCTGTATTGTCAGGCTTACAGCGCTTGTTCCACTAATGCGCGCTCACAAATTGAAACTACAGCATCGAGTGAGCACTACACGCGACGATTAAGTTGCTGTCTACATAGATACGAGCACGTGTGCGGTAGCGCAAACCATACCGGTGGGTGTGGTAAGTTGGACTGTCTGTACGCAGTACTATACTTTAGTGCCCTGTCCATAATGGTCGAGATAAGAACTCGGTTCAGTTGCGGGTGGCTATAAGGTGTACCCGCCGCGCGCATAGATACTGCGTTGAATACAGTTGACAGACGCGCGGTCAGCTTGCCAGTATCGCTGCAGTATGGCCTGTGCCCAGTAAGTGACCTGCTTGGTCATATAGACTGATACATCAGAAGTGTAAGCACAGTAAGCCAGCACGACGACGCAAATGTACCGTGAAAGCGACAGTGACCCTATGCATAGGTTGTGGCTATCCCGAGGGCATAGCATATACACCCATTTGAGACCTTGCGAAATGAGCTACGCACTGACACATCAAATAGCACGCCGAACTGAAAAGTAGACAGCGAAAGTACATTATGTAACGTACACGGGCTACTATTTGATACAAGTCTACGTATTACTACGATCTGATAATATGCCTACAGCCAAGTGGCTTCGTATGCTCGCCATACATATCGGAGCCAGTAAATGTCACTCGGAAAGGATATACGGATCTCTGATAATCATTAGCTATGCAAATAAGTCGGTAAGTAAGTCAATGGCGTTCATCCTATCATAGAAGGGTTATGAGATTAAATTTATTATTAATGTAATTGATACGAGTCAGCGAACATCACGTACAGGCCCTTCAATGATATCATGATACTATGAAGAGCTCAGCGAGGCATATGGAGAGGCGAAATTGGTATATTCTGTGACCCTCGGCAGATACTAGCGGCTCTAAACAATAATATGCATGCAGAGACAGACAAAACTCGCTCTAACGGACCGTCGCAATCAGCTATATGGTATATAATACCTCTCGGCTAGATAAATAATACACGTCACTCAATTCACCCGATTTCGTTGTATCCCAATACACTTCGGTCGTCGTATTTACTAGCGCTAAACTTATCTGGGATCTCCTCACCGATTTATGCTGAGGTTTGGCGCACCAATAATACTGATCCACCTTCTAAATAACCGAAAGTAACTTGCAATGAAGCGCACCTGAAAGTGTGGCATTTCAGGAGCGAAGCGCTCAGCCGAGAATTAAGACAAATCTTTTAGGGAAAGACAGTGTTCATCATGCAGATGACTTATAGCCCCGGTGGTAACGGCGAATACTTCATCTTCACAATAGTTTACTGTCACGTCTACCTGTACCATGATGCTCAACAATAGCCATCCATCACGCGGGTATCTATTTGTAACAGCCAGTCGTCACGCAGACCTTTTATAAGTGAGGCTGTCAAAAATGACTTCAAATAATACAAGAGGTAGGCTGACAGGAAATTGGTGATGTAGAACACGTAAACACTAAGGATATTGTGTACATCGTTTGTTGCAACCCAACATAACTTTTATATTCTAAATGTAGTTTTGCTTTGAGTAAGGGTTTCTGAGCTCACCGCAGCGCAGCGGAGGTGGTCAACCCTCTCTACACCAATCAACTATGCCCTAGCGTCCGCGGAGCGGGCGCCCAGAGCGCTAGTTCCCGCCTCCTAACCTTGCAGCGTGTCTGTCCGTCCGTCCGTCCGTCTGTCAATCAGTCCGTCGCACTCCCTGTCTTGTTGCTTTTGCCTGCCTTTTCGCATGGCTACACTCGGCCTGTCTTATACAGTTTCGTCCCATCTTACCGACCGCGCCTACCTTTCTGACTCGACCTAACTATGCAAAAATTACAATTATATCCAAAAGCGTTACACAATTAACTCGCGTCCTGATTGGGCAATACCTGCCGACCTGCGACACTGACTGGATCTGTCGCACGATCAGACTGTCTCTCGGACTCGCGATTGGACGTAAGGTAAGAATTTCTGCCGAGCACGAAGCGCATCGATTGGATGCAAACAGCCTGGCGAGCTGCGTTGATGATTAATTATTTACATTTAGCTACGCAAAACCTGTCCTATGTGCATCAAATCGGGCACGCTAACAACCGCTTTTTGTAAGAACTTTGCAAACATTATTTTTTACTTCTCCTGGCACCACCGTGCAACGAAGGCGCGCGGCTGCATGGTCATTGCGCTATCTGCTCCTGTGCACTGCACCCGACAAATGCATGCGCGCACGATAGATAATTTGTTTTAATCAAATTTATATTGCATGTCCTAGTATGTATTTGTTGGGAAATATGATAAAAGTATTATTATAGCAAAGCCAAAATATTAAATATCAACTTTTTAATATTTTGTTTTAAAAAAATATATATCCGCGTTATATGTCCATGCTATTGGCTAATATTTGGACGCAAGTAATTGGTTAAAACAATATATGTTGCTAACTTACTCACAGTTTGCAAAATGGTGGGCCCTATGTGCAAGCAATGCGAGGCGAAGATTGGCCCGCTTCTGCTGAATTCGCAGCGGTCTACGACGGATGACCGTGCGCGCACTGCGTCTGCTGCGGGAAGCTGTAGTGCGGCTACGCATTCCGTACAATCAGCGGGCGGGACATCGTGCGGCGCTGTATTGCCTGCAAGAACGGCCTAAAAGCGGTTAACTTTTGGGAGGAAAAGCTTTTGCCACCTGGTTCGGCCGAAGTGCGCCGCCAGGAAAGCCTGTCAAACGTCAAGAAGGCGATGAGTCCTGGCTGGTACCCCAAGAAGAAAGAGAGGCACAGCCGCCCTCGCAAGCTGACCGCCCGAAACGCCAAGTACATCGAGCAAAAGAAGCAGCAGAAGAGCAAGTAATTGGTAAATATACCCTTTTAGGCCCCCATTTTCCTACCTATTTTTGTTTTTGGTATACTGGCTGACGGTGCGAGGCTTGGGGCCGCACATACGGTAAGCTGACTATGGTGTTGACGCATCTACAGAGGGTAGCGCGTTTCAAATAATAATTAGCGCACGGTATCTACTGTGGACAGCCGCAAGCTGACCGTCCCTATCTGCATACGCGTCACGTATCCTCGCTCACTTGGACAAAGGCAAGACCAAGCTATCTGTATTGTCAAGGCTTACAGCGCTTGTTCCACTAATGCGCGCTCACAAATTGAAACTACAGCATCGAGTGAGCTCTACGCGCGACGAATAATTTGCTGTCTACACAGACACGAGCACGTGTGCGTTAATGCAGATCATACAAGTGAATGTGGCAAGTTGATGAGTCTGTACGCAGTACCGTACTTTAGTGCCCTGCTCAAATCGGTCGGGATCAGAGCTGGGATGGTTATAAGGTGTACCCGCCGCGCGCGTATATATCTGCTAGCAGACGCGCGGTCAGCTAGCCTGTATCTCTGCGGTATGACCACTGCCGAGTTAGTGACGCGCCTGGTCACATAGACTGATACATCTGAAGCGTAAGCACAGTAAGTCAGCACGACGACGCAAATGTACCGATAAAGCGATAGTGACCCTATACATATGTTTTAGCTCTCACGGGCGCGTGTTATACACACTCATTAGCGACCTCGCGCTATATGCACGGACACATCTAATAGCAAACCGAGTTGATAAGTAGGCAGCAAAAATACTTCATATATTGTACAT